TCATATTATTTTTTTCTGAGCTGGGAAAGTGTATATTAATAATACTTGGGCACACTTACTCTAACAAGAACCATATAATAATAATCCCACTTAGTTCGGAAAGGCCTGAGTGAATAGGAAGACCTTGGAGTGCGACCTGAAATTGACTACAAGGATTTTGTTGGACCAATTGAGGAAGTGAATTGCAGAGTCAAGGGTTGTCATTAAATACTGTACTGCCAGTAACCTAGTGTTCAAAATTTAGGATTCTAGAACATCCTGGCTAGTCAAAAGCCAGGATGATGCAGCTATGCATCACTATTATGCAAGCAGATTACTGCACTTTTTACTAGCTGTATTTTTTAAAGATGCTTTGTAGGTCATTTTGCTCAAATCCAGCTGAAAGGTAACAAAAGCTCTGTGGCAAGGTCCCTATCTGAGAAGACAGTTAACTCCTAGAGATATTGGTAGAAAAAGTAACATTGCTCTTACCTGAGAATCTAAGAATAGTTTAGTATTTACTAGAAACCTCAAACTCCATTAGGTCCTTACATTGCAAGTGACCATCCCTGTCCCAGGAATCTCACAATCTAAGTACTCAACAAAGACAAAAATATTTAGCATTATCCCCATTTTGTTTATGAAAAGAACTGAAGCACAGAGACACTAAAACTAGGAAGGGGATGGTTTGAAGAGATAACATGATCTTGGTAACTAATTGACCATTCATTATCAGTGAGAAATAGGTCAATGGAGGGATGATAGGAATTACTAGAGAACTTTTTGGGTGTCTGGCTGATGAGTCTTGCCCACATGCTCAGGGTTTAGCTGATCGCCATATTTGGGGTCGGGAAGGAATTTTCCTCCAGGGTAGATTGGCAGAGGCCCTGGAGGTTTTTCGCCTTCCTCTGTAGCATGGGGTACAGATCATAGCTAGAGGATTCTCTGCATCTTGGGGTCTTCAAACTATTTGAAGGCTTCAATAGCTGAGATATAGGTGAGAGGATTATTCTGGGAGGGGTGGGTGAGATTCTGTGGCCTGCACTGTGCAGGGGGTCAGACTAGATGATCATAATGGTCCCTTCTGACCTTAAAGTCTATGAGTCTAGGAATTTCAAAATCAATATGGGATTAAGCCCCCAAACCATTAGAAACTAATGGGAACCTAATGAGAATTGGACATCCAAATTCCAAGTGGGTTTGAAAATCTTATCCTAAGCAACTTTTCTCAGGTCCCATAGGAGGTCTGTGTCAGAGCTAAAATTGCATCTGAGTCCCAATCCAATATTTTGATCCTAAGAATATCCGTACTCTACACTGAAAAAAAGCCCTAGAGTTTCCTAAATTGTGGTATGTTTACACCAGGGCTACGTCTAGACTGGCATGATTTTCTGCAAATGCTTTTAACGGAAAAGTTTTTCCGTTAAAAGCATTTGCGGAAAAGAGCGTCAAGATTGGCACGGACGCTTTTCCACAAAAGCACTGTTTGCGGAAAAGCATCCGTGCCAATCTAGACGCGGTTTTGTGCAAGAAAGCCCTGATCGCCATTTTCACGATTGAGGCTTTTTTCCGCAAAACAATAACGCGTTGTCTACACTGGCCCTCTTGTGCAAAAGCATTTGCACAAGAGGGCTTTTGCCCGAACGGGAGCAGCATAGCATTTCCACAATAACACTGACCAGTGTAGACAGCTGGCAAGTTTTTCCACAAAAGCAGCTGCTTTTGTGGAAAAACTTGCCAGTCTAGACGCAGCCCAGTAGTAAACACTTCACAAGAATATTTAAGATCAGATGTGAACCAGTTAAGTTTGGGAACTTCTGGTGTAGAGTTAGCAGATATTACACCCACCATTTTCATCAAGAATTCTCATCAATCTTAGTTCCTCCGACACCTAAGCATAACTACTATCTGGTCTTGTTGATTTTTCAGACACCTCATTCTTACTGAAGCCCTTATGAGAAACCACATAGCTTGGGTCCACTAAAAACAAGATGTAGAGATGAGATACACACATGGGAAATGTAGCTGTCCTAACATGGTATTATCCACTGTTGGTCTGTATGCATAGATTAAACAGTTCAGCTTGGAACAGTCATTCTTTTATTGGTCTGATGATGATCTATAAGTATTTTATGTGCCTGATCTCACAAATTCTTACTCAGGAAAGTTAAATATCCAAGCTATACATATTATGTGATTTTAATCCTAGGGTAGGTCAGGACTGCACCACATGGCATGGGAAGCAAGAACTCAAATGGTACCCTTCTTCAAAATTGTGTGCAGCATGAGCTTGCTATTGCAAGCGTATTCTTCCAATAGGCAAACAAATATAAAGCAACTTGGATGTACCCTCAGTCTAAGCACTGGCAAATGATTGACTATTTCATTACAAAACAGATCTTTCTGATGTTAAGTTGACTCATGCAATGAATGACATGGGCTCCTGGTCTGACCATTACACAATATGTAGTGTTGTCTCCTTGAGCCTTTATCTGCCATTCTGCTGTATGCTGGAAAAAGTTGGTTGTAGGTAAACTTGAAATGTCCGAGACAATAGCATTGTTTCAACTTAGTCTTGATGCTTCCATATTTATCAACAATAAAGGTCCAGAGCAGCCATCCACTGTTGAGGAGGACTAGATTAACATCAAGGAAACCACTGTAAAACTGCTGTCAAAATACTAGGTTTCCGAAAATGCAAACAAAAGGACTAGTTAAATGACAAGGACAAAAATGCCCAGGCTCTTCTTGATAAGATGCACGTGACGCACCTGGCCTGAATCAACGATAAAGAGAAAGTCTCCAGTAAATCAGTAAACATTTGAGATATACTTTCTGCCTAAGTCAAATTGTGTCAAATGAAAGAGGACTGGTGAAAATGTAAAGCAGTCAAACTTCAAGGTGCAGCTGATGGACATAATTTTAAAGCATGCTATGATGGGCTGAAGGCAGTCTATGGACTGGGTGTTGCTGGCTTTTTGCCAGTGTGCTCTGCTGATGGCAGCACTCTGATTACAGATAATGCTAAAATCTTTCACCTCTGGGTTGAACATTTTCACAATGTATTAAATCAGACATCAACTTTGACAGCAGCATTCTTGAGGAGATTCCTCAGTAAGGTAATGATTCACAGCTGGTTATACTGCCAATTCTTGATGAGATACAAAAAGATGTCAATAAGATGAAATCTGAAAAGGCACCTGGCAGTGATGTGATCCCATCAGAGGTTTTTAAAGCTGCTGGTGACCAGCTAATGCACCGTCTCACCCATTTATCTATCACCATTTGGGAGAAAGAGAAAGTCCCCCAGGACTTCAGAGATGTCCTTATTGTACACATATACAGGAGAAAAGGTGACTGTGCATGCTATGATGACCACCAGGCCATTACACTCCTATCTATAGCTGGTGAAATCAGGCCCTCATCCTCTACCACAGGCTGTCATTACATGTCACATGGCATCATTCCTAAAAGACAGTGTGGATTGCATGCTGGCTGAGACACTGCCAACATGATGTTCACAGCCAGGCAGATCGAAGAAAAATGTAGAGAACAACATCAGGATATCTACATGATTTTCATTGACTGGAACAAGGTGTTTGACATGGTTATCAGAAACAGGCTTTGGAAGGTACTTGGGAGAATTGGCTGTCCTGAAAAAATTATCAGTATAGTTTGGTCTTTTCATGATGGAATGTTGGGTTGTACGTTGGGTGACATCAGCACCTTTTGAAGTATCAAATGGTACAAAACAAGGATGTGTCCTTGCTCCTCTCCTATTCAGTATCTACTTTTCTATTTTGCTGTTGTTTGTTTTTAAGGATTGCAGTTTGGGCATACCTATTCAGTTCCAAACTGATGGTAGCATTTTCAACCTCTGAAGACTTCAAGCTCACACCAAAATGTTCACTACAACTTTTATGACATCCTGTTTGCTGATGACTGTGCATTGTTGGTTCACTCAGTCGAGGACACACAGAAGCTTTTTGATCATTTTACTATTTCTGCTCACTGTTTTGGACTCACTGAGAGCCTCAAGAAGACAGAGGTTTTGTCTCAGTCTGTGTGGAAAGATCCCAGCACTCCAGTGATAACTGCTGCTGATATACCTCCTTAAGGCTGTCAATAAGTTTTACTACCTTGGAAGCATACTCCCCTCCAGCATAAACACTGATTACGATATATTTGCTAGACTAGCCAAGGCCAGTGCTACCTTCAGAAGATTGACCAAGCACTTATGTAATGATCATGGTGTTAAACTGTTACCTCCATATGAATTTTATCACGCAGTTGTCCTGAATATCCAACCATATGGCTCGGAGTCATGGACTTTATATCGTCATCATGTTTTGAAACTATATGTGCTGCCTTGGGAAAATTGCCAAGGTGACTTGCGGGGACAAAATTCCTAACACAGAGGTCCTTAAGGTGTGTGGTGTCATGGGTGTGGAAGCAATGCTTATGAACAGTATTACTGGATTGGTTATGTCATGAGGATGGCTGATACACAGATACCAAAGATAGTCATCTATGGTTAGCTTGTTCACTGAAAATGCTCTATTGATTGTCCATATAAACATTATAAAGATATCCTAAAAGCCAATGTGAAGTCATGAATCTTATCTCCCAGTGACCTGGAAATCATAGCTCAGGACAGACTGTTTTGATGGCAAACTATTGTACAGACTTTCAAACATTTTGAAAGTCAATGAAACATTGTAATGAGGACATTACAAGAAAAGCATAGGACCTGAAAAGAGTGTACTACACCTACAGATGGCAGATTTTTGCTGTGACATCTGTAATCAGGATTGCCTTAGTTGCTTATCAACAGTGTCATGATTATGAGGGTTAGCCAGCAGCCTGGGGATTAAGGGTTAACTACACCTAGCCAGGTGGAGTGACCAGTAGGAATGTAAGTGGGACTTTCAAACTGAGACAAAGGAATTTGGGTTTTTTCCTTTCTTTTTTTGTCTCTCTCAGAGAGTTCTCTGCAGTTACAGAGAGGGACAAGCATGTCTCTCTCTCTCCCCAAGACACCATTCTTCATTTTCTGTAAGTAGGGTAAAGGTTAGATAGTTTCGTTAGGCTTTATTGTTTTAAGGGTTGGGTATGGGATCTGATATTTGGCACTGCTTAAGAGATGTTTGGCTTTTCTTTTTAACTAAGTTCTAGCCCATGGAGTAATTCCTCCATGAGTATATTTTGTTACGTTTCCATCTGATCCTTATGCTTGCAACAGGAATATTGTTGTAATAATAAAAGTTTTCTCTTTTCTTTTTATTAACCTCGCATCGGTTAACTGTGTGCCTGATTTTTATAATAGGGGTGAGATTTCCCAAATGATCTTTCCCCTACTCTCGTTATTAATATTTGGGTGGTGGCAGCAGAAGTTTTATTCCCAAAATCTAGGTTTTTAAGATTTTGGGGGAAGTTTTATACCAAAGCCTGGTAGATAAGGCTTTGGGGTACACTTGCTGGCCCCCACTTCTGCATTTATCATGCCAGAGTGGGGAAGGAGCCATGACATGGTGGCATAGTGGTGGGATTATTTTGAGAACCCAGGATTTTTAAAAGGACACAGGTTTTTCTTTGAGTTGCAAGCTTTGCAGTTTTTCTTTTTTTTTTTTTTTTTTCTTTCTTTTGTT